TGGCCCAAGTCTCTCCCATCCGAGCTTGTTGGCAAAGAAGATATGATAAAGCAATTCTTTGACTTCCGCAATGAAAAAGTGCAAGGGCTAGATACTCAAATAGAAAAATGGAAAAGACAACATTGATTGAATGACTCCTGTCATTGAAGTGAGATCACAGTTTGATTTCTTGTCCACAATCACAATTCTGAGAGGAAGAAATGTTCATGTGTTGGATTGCTGGCATGATTATTCACATTGATATAGCAGTTGAATGCGCATGTGATTAAGTTTAACTAAGCCCCCCCCCGAGCGCGTTTGCCGCGCCCTCGAAGAGGGGCTTACATCGGACTCGTGGTTTTTGGCGTGTGAGCTCCAAGGGTTATGTCCCCTTATGTTTTCTTTACTTCTCCACTTCACCTCACCATAGAAATTGTTATACTTCTGGGATGGGGTTCTTCATGCAATTGTACATATCTAGATGTAGGATTCATGAGAAACATACAGCCCTGCACAGCTTGAGCACTGTGTCAAGACCACCAAAAGTGGGCCTTGGGTCCTCTTGAAAATGGCCTCAGACCCCCTAAGATGCCACATAATAGTATGAGTTTTGAAAGCACAATCTTACCAATTCACACCACAATAACAGAGCCCTTCCACTTGATGCACACTGATGTGTGTGGTACCAAATTACGCACAACCACATGAAGGACAGCATAATTGAAGCTTAACAATTTCTGGTGAGGTGAAGGGGGCAAGTGACAATATTGACATACAACTTAATGCTTGGAGCTCAGACACTGGGTCCATTTGATGTAAGCCCCTCTTTGATGGTGCGGAAAACACACTTGTAAGGGGCTTAGTTAACCTTGGCATGTGATACACATTCAAAGAAATAAGCATTATGTCCTTCTCCCCTGAAATAGAAATGTAATGCCTCTCATTAGATCTTCCTCTCCATTTTTAATTTAAACTTCCTTCGGTGTTGAATTGAGACATCAATGCATACTCCAGGATTCAATTCAGTGTAAGAGGTGAATTTCATGAGACTTGTATCTCTACAGCAGTTTCAAGAATAAATCTTGCCTCTTTGTATCTATTTTTTTTATTTTTTCAAGGTTGAACTGAAGATTATTGACCTACATTCTACATAGAGCAGCTGTAGTCAATAATGTGCTAACTTTCAAGTCTCCTCCCACCTTTCCGCTGGTTGCAACCATACCAAAGGTTGTGCATTTCCTGTACAAAGGAAGCAATGATTGTGAAATATGAGCAAGATTCTGATCTTTCTGCACACTTGAATAAGCTGACTACAGCTCTTATGTAGAATCCAGGTGAGTAAGTTTTAGTGTAACCTTTGAAAAAATTAAAAAAATTAAAACAAGCAGGCAACATTTATTCTTGAAACTTCTGTATCACATATATCATGTCCTAAATATTCCATTTTGTTCATCTACTTTGAAAGTCCAGCAGTATTGTATGGTATTGACAGTCCTATGAGACCTCACACTTTCAACAGTCCTATCTTGGATTTGAATATCAAAGGTATCCTTGTATGTAGATTCCCTTGGGTGGCTTGTCTGAGGCAAAAAGTGCCCGAGTCCACTTGCTCCTTGCAAGGCCTTGAGCAAGGGACCTACAGCCAAAGTTGAAATTTTGGTGTGAGATTGATTGGGGCTTTTTTCCAAACACAATTGCTCCTTATGAATGATATTTTCCTTTTTTCACCCACCCCAGTCCAAGAATGAAAAAGATACACCTTGACCGGCTCTAAAATCTCCCACTCTTGGTTTATCAACAACACAGGTGGTTATGGAGATAATGATTAATGTCCTTTGGGGGTTGAAGGCAAAATCTACATCAATTGGGGTTGCTGTGTGTGTATTCTCCGTTTTTGGGGTACATTTGAGACCACAACTTCTCTTGTATCTCCACAACTACTTGTGTTCTCAAGGAGCTGAGAGTTGAGACTTGTAGACTGTACCAAAGTGTACATCTCTTGTTTTTTTGGGCCAGGGAACATTATAAATAAGAAAAAACATCCATAAGGAGCAAGCAGCTTTGGCAAAAGCCCCAACCAATTTTGCACCAAAATTCAACTTTGGCTGTAAGTCCCTTGCTCAAGGCCTTGCAAGAAGCACATGGAATCATTGAAGTTTGGTCTGACACCCACCTTCTTTGACCAAGATCAAAAAGTACTTGGATCAATTACTTGGATACCACTGCCAAAATTAATGTCATCCAAGAACAACTTGCATTGGATGATCCCAGGTATCTATGTTGGCTGTGCCAACAAGCATCTACTGAATCCAGAGATCATCAACATGTGGTGTTTCCTGGGTGTTTTTGGGGATCTGCAACAGAAACTTGTAAGGGTTAAACGTGTAGACAGTGCTATGGGTTTAGGAGTATGGGGCTAGACAGACTGGTTGTATATCTTCCTCCCTCAATCCCAGCTTCAGTTAGTCCTCACTCTTTTGATGCCTGATTGTGGGACTTCCTGGAGCTAGGTGAAACACTTTCACTTTCTACTTTTCATCTCCTTAATTTCACTGGCTCTTTTGAGAGCTTATTGCAGGACTTTCTGGAGCTAGGCCTAGTATGAACTACACACATAAGTTCCATAGTTGATTGCTCTCCCTTGAGTCTCTTTCTCCGGAAATCCAGATCCTTAGTGAAGGCTATTCATAAAGCCTTACAAAACTTAACCTTGGACAAGTGCCAATTACTGCAAACAATGACTCAAAGCTGCCACTATCTATTACATACAATTTTTTCTTGGTAGTACACATAGGGTAAACCCCAATGTGACTACCCAACAGGGGAGCAAAACACATTGCAGGGTGACCTATTGTCTTATTTGTGCATGGTTTTTGTCCCAAACCAGCAACCCATGTGATATCTTCCATGCAAAAAATAAAATTCTAGGCATACATCCCTGTAGAAAACTATCTACAACACAAATACAATGGCAAATATAGAAGGCAAGGTTCATCAGTTTCCTGCTTGCTTCTTCATGCTTGTCTGACTTTTTCATATTTTTCATCTGAAATCTCCAGGATGTACTAATGAATCAACATTCTTAGGCTGCAGATCATGACCTGTAAAGATTTTGGCTGGGTCAGGTCAGAAACTTAAAATCTGTCCAAAACCATATGTTCTGGTGCTTTTGGGGCAAATTTTGGTTTTCTGACCTGGCCTGTTTAAAGGTCACACCATGCAGCCTAGAAACTGGTTTCAGTACATCCAAAATTTATTTCAATGAACATAAAGAAATAATCAAAGGAGCACACAGAAGTAATTAGAAAACTGATAGAACTTTGTCTGTATCTTTACAACTTCTGTTGTGCTTCAAGGACTTCTCTATGTGGGCAGCCGCATATGAACATTACATTTGTGGTAGTGCAAATAGCTTAAGAGATGATTTCTGGGATATCCCTCTATTATTGCACAAACTGAGGTGATATACAGTCTACAATGTAGGCTTAGTGGCTAGCCCTGTGCTATATTCATCAGCTGATTTCATCAAGAGTGTGGTTCCTCCCTTGGTTTATTGGGTGCCTTCCAAGGGTTTCAGATTGGCTCAAGTTCATACAGATGATGTGTATCCAATACATCCCCCATCTTGCCACTGGTACAGCCTGATTCCCTGTGGACATGTAGTATATCCCCTTTGGAGCCTCAAATCAAATTGACTACCAGTGGCAATGAAAATTTTCACTGCCTCAAGGCTGTACAAGCAGACGCAGAAAGTATATGTCACCCCCAGGGCCAGACTGTCTCACACTACATACACTATAGTGATCCTTGGGCCCTGAGGGTGTTGTATCTTTTCTGTGCCCACTTGTACACTTGGTGAGGTGTGTGGTTATCATTTAATCCTTAACCTCATACTTCATAGCTCATTGGCAGTGTTGTGTTGTGAATGATGTTTATTATTTGGGCTGTGTGGTTACTGGGCTTCTGATCTATTTCATATACATATTGCATTTGCATAGTGTACCATTACACATACAATTTGATCTGGTTGATTTCTGCCTGTCTGGCTTATCTGTTGAGGTGGGAGTTTTGATGAGTCAAAAGGGGTATATCAGGTAGTTGACAATAGGTCTTTGGCAACACAGCTAGCTATGAGCAGGTGAGATAATACTTGTTCCAGACTCTGTGCACTAGATACACTACTTGGAGCGCTTGATATGCTAATTATTTTTTCTGTAGGACAGTTTACATCTTGTGAGATCCAAAATTTACTTTAAGAGCTCAGCATAATATGCAAAATTTGTGCTGCATCTGTGATGTTGACTTCAAACATTTATTCTCAGCCAGCAAGATATCCAAGGAAACTGTTATGGCTGTCCTGCTGGGGTCTCAGCTGTAGGAGTGAGGCTCAGTTGCATTCTGATCTATTACTTATTGAGATTGTTGGATCAAGAAGAGAAAGCAACTACAAGTGAGGTGGACAACAAGTATAGTGATTGGTACAACATGGATTTATGTAAAGAGAACAGTCATAACAGAAACCAATTTATCAGCATGTTATTGAAGATTTTGCAGGACTCTAGCATATCGCTTATAATCCTTTGGCACAATATTGGTAGATATGTCCAACTTGCAAGAAAGAATGTCTGGGATCAGTTAGATGTGTGTTCTCCATATTACTCACAGAACTTTCCCATGTGGTTATATGGTTATCTCTGTCTCCTGCAAGTCAAGATTGTCCAGAGTCCTTCTCATCTATGCCTATATCACTAGCACTGTGGCCGTTGTTGTGTTCCCTTGTCTGCTTAGCTTTGACTTGATCAATCTTTTGACACTCGTTGATTACATTCATCATAAGCCAAATGTGACACTTTTTTGGAACCTACCCTTTGCTGACATTTTGCATGAAACTGTAACATGGAGCCTTACAAGACTAAGCCTTGCATTACTAACCCTTCAGATAGGAACAAGAGTGCTTTGTATGGATCAATTTCTCAATATACGGGGAGGCAAACCGTTCAAAGTTGAGTCTCAAGTGATATCCTGGTATAAGTAGGACATACAGGTCAATGAATATTGTAGGCATGCCACGGTCTCTAATGATATTCTAGTATCGAATCTATAATACACAAAATCCTCCCTAAGCCTTCACTTCGGCTTGGCTGCCGCTCGCAAAGAATAGCCTTGAGTGGGGATCATTGAGGTATCATATGAATCGAGGGATTGTTTTGTCAAAGGTGCCATCACACCGAAATCGCTATCTAAGTTCTTCTCTACAAAGTCTTCCTGAACCCATATCATCCAGACTAAGAGACACAAAATGCTGATAATAGCCAAAATTCTAATTCATGAAGCTGTGAATAATTTTTAAATCAGATGCGGTTTGGCCGTTGACCAACCCATTGCACCAGCAGCCATTAGGGAGGATGCAATCAACATTTTCTGAGGTCCAGCTGATATCAAATGAAAAGGTTCCACAATCAGTAGAGTATTAGGGATTTCCGTCAAATGTATAGGCTGACCTGTGCATCGAAATAGGGCACCTGTCAAGCCACCAGCCATGATAGAGTTCCAATTATCATGTTGTTCTCGGTATCGGTCCAACGTGCAGTTGAATGCATTGTACATCAAAGCTATCCAATCGATTGAATCAGCTCTTCAGTCCATGTGCTACAAAGAAACTCAGGATCAAAACGAACCCAAAATCCCACAAGTATTACCGGTAAAGCTTCCTCTTCGAGTGATCCCATTCAGTATGGCATTCAATCTTAACCTCCAGCTCACACCTCCTGTGGCGCCCTCGAATGCAGCTGTGGCCGCCGCTGCCGCTCCTGTGGCCGCTGGTTTCGAGCTAGCTGCCTGAGCGGCGGCAGCAGCTTTCTGAGCCGATGCAGCAGCAGCAGCCGAGCTAGCCAGTGACCGAGCCACCCGCCCGGCTGCAATAGCTTTACTTCGTTGCCATCCCTCGCGCAGACCCCATAGTCCACCAAGTCCAAGTCCGCCCACATAGACCGTACCAGTGCCATAACACAGCTCATCGGACCATCCCCTGTTAGGAAGTACTGACTGAGATCCAGCAATTGAGGATAGAGCGGCTTCATCTAGGGCGAGATAATCAAGATCGGCGGTGACGTTAGAGAGTGGGTGGAGAGTTGATGGACGAGCGTAGGCTGAGAGAATAGATTCGGAGGTTGGAGCTTGAAGAGCAGAAGTTGAAGGGGAGAGTGAATCGGTTTCAAAGGTAGCTTTCCTGAGGACCTATAACATTCATCTGATTCAGCTTTCCGACTTATATTTTTTGATATCTCAACTTGTTCTCTTGATCGAAGACTCACATTTTCAGCAGAGTCAAGTTGAGGATCACCGGGTATTTGGTTCGAATTTGATTGAGACATGAAGAAGTATACTTTCTTTTAATTTGACTTGTGAAGAAAGAAACAAGTATTGCGATTATTATTTTCTATGGACAGGTTTTCTTCAAAATGGCCTTCTCAAAATTTCTGATCACTCAAAATTTCCCAACGACGCCTATCTTGACCCGTAGCGTGCGAGTCCGAGGTGCACCGTCCACGGTCCAGGACATAGACATGACATATCAGCCCACAGCAGAGGAAAACTGACCTTTCACAGCCGCAACTGTGCATCCTCGATGACAGCTTGATTTGTAGGGAACAAGAAATCGATTTCAACAATTCACTTCGATCAGTCTCGTCAAAAAATATTTCAATCGCAACTCAGCATTCTTCAAATTCAAAATGTCAACAGCAGTAGAAAAGATCAAGGCTATCGAAGATGAGATGGTAAGTAGTCAAAATTATCAAATTTACGAAAAAAAAATCATCAATAACTGACAAGCTGTTCCTCTCCTTGTAGTCCAAAACCCAAAAAGTATTCTTAAAAGCTATATGAACTTTCAACCCGACGGCATGGCTGACTTGAAAAACCCTACTGAATAGAACAAGGCCACGGCTTTTCATCTCGGACAACTGAAAGCTAAGTTGGCAAAACTCAAACGAGAGTTACTTACACCCTCTTCGAGCGGCGGAGGTGGTCCTGGTGTTGGTTTCGATGTAGCACGAACGGGAGTAGCTAGTGTTGGATTTGTAGGATGTACGCGAAATGTTATCTATCTCTCAAGAGCCAAAATTCATGAAACCCAGAACTGGAACTAAAAACATCTATATCATTTCGGCTTCGGGACAAAAAACACACCAGTCCCCTCAGTAGGGAAATCGTCTCTGATGTCCGGATTGACCGGGACGGTCTCAGCAGTAGCAGCATACGAATTCACCACTTTGTAGGTCCTTCAGACCTTGGCTTGAGTCAGTAAAAGATATCAATTCAAAGGAACCCTCCCTGCTTGCGAAAGAACTACAGTGCCTGGGACGATGAACGTGCGAGGGGCAGCGGTCCAAATTCTTGATCTACCTGGGATTATCGAAGGTGCAAAGGATGGAAAGGGTAGAGGAAGACAAGTTATTGCTGGTCCGTTTTGAACTTTTCTAGTCCTTCAGATTTGATACCTTTGCTGCGTTTATCTCACGTTGTTCCATGACTGTAGTGGCTAGGTATGCGAAATATTACTCGTAGAATCTTGCGCGATCAGTCAGCGCTTACTTAACTTTTGGATAGATCGTGTAATTTACTTTTCATTGTACTCGATGTACTCAAACCACTGGACGACAAACGGATCATTGAGAATGAATTGGAGGTGTGCACCATCTCTGACAACATCATCCCTGCTTTGTTTTCGTGCCAATATAACTGATCCCAGTTCACAAAAATTTGTAGGGATTTGGGATTCGACTGAACAAAAAACCACCTCACATCCTCATCAAGAAGAAGGATAAAGGTGGTATCGCAATATCTAATACCGTACCCCTCACACACCTAGAACCTGAGGAGATCAAGGCGGTTTTGGCTGAGTATCGAATGAGCAATTGTGATGTGGCGTTTCGTTGCGACGCAACTCTGGATGAACTGATCGATGTGATCGAAGGAAATCGGTGAGTGTTCACGGTTTCGACAAGAACACTTCATTAGGTACCTGTGAAACTCATGAATCGTGCCGCTGCAGAGTATATATGCCATGTCTTTATGTACTGTAAGTCTCTTCTATGTATGTATGACTATCAACCTGTTCTGATCATTCGACTTTCTTCCAGGAACAAGATTGACGCGATCTCTATCGAGGAATTAGATCTACTCTACCGTATTCCTAACAGTGTCCCAATATCTGTCAAGGAATGGCTGTAAGCTAATATCAATCTATCTTGGCAATGCTCTCCCGCTGATTCATTCTTCGATTGCGAGATACTTTTCCTTTAAGAAATATCGATGAATTGATCGATGCACTCTGGCATAAACTTGACCTTGTAAGAGTATATACCAAACCAAGAGGTCGACAACCGGATTACTCTCAACCTATCGTACTTAAGACAGCCAAGTCTACGGTAGAAGACTTTTGTAATGCGATTCATAAGGAGATCTCAAAACAAATGAAATAGTTAGTACAGTTTGATTAGAAAAACAATGAATCGTCTCTGACTTTTTTTACCTATGATCCGGGGGTAATTTGGTGGTCATTCTGACGACAAATTTGTAGCTGTGTAGTATGGGTCAGTGATCTAATCCACCTTGCTCCATCGAGGATCTTCGATCTGATACTGAGGTTTTTCTTCTTACGTAGGGTACATCGGCAAAACACGCTCGAGGGCAGAAAGTGGGATTGGAACATGTGTTAGAAGATGAGGATGTAGTAACAAGTCAGTGACAATCTACATTCTATCATATCAAATTAGACTCTTACCGAATGATTTGTTTTACAGTTGTGAAGAAATGATCAACAGACAAATAATATTATGACAGAAATGAGTACATAAAATAGTTTTGCTGAATTCTAAGATCTGAGGCTTGTAAAAAGATTTACTGTTCAAATTGCGGAACTATACATCTACACCAGATAATACAAAAACTTATGGATCTGAAAAGATCATTCTTATTGACGACATGCGGACGAGTAATCTACAGGGGAACTTATTCTAGTGTGGTACCATGGCCGATAGACAAGACGACTAGCCAAATGGAAGCAAAGATTGTTGACCACCTGAACCTCATGGTTAGAGACCGAGTTTCTCAAAGACTTCAAAGCTCTCCATGGGCTCAAATATTGATTCTTCCCCTTATAATTTGAAATTTACTGGCCTATTGTCGTTACAAGGTATTTGCTACCGGTATAGAGTATTACCATTGTTCATAATCTTGATTGGGCTTTGAATTATTGAGCACTTGCATTGTTCATGGATGGGTTCAACCATGTTTTTGGTTTGGGCTCCTCCCTGTGCTTTAATCCCACCCATTTTGTTTGCAAGAAGAACCAAGTCCTAGAGTATGAATAATGTTTCATTCTATGTACTTCAAAAGAGGAAGTCACACTATGGCACAACCCCTGATGAACTCGGAGTCAGACTAGACTTCTGTCCCCTTTTTGTTCTGAAAGGCATGGTTTGAAGTTGACCATTTAAATGAACTCAAAGTTCAGAGCCTTGTTGATGTGCTTCGCACTTCACATCATCATCTGTTGACCATTTTCAGAATGTCGATCCGCCCACACGGCGCAGCTGGCAAATGTGTCAGAAAGATAAGAATCTCTGTGTGATCTGTACACGCGGAGAGACTTCAACTTGTACATAATGGTCATGACTGCGCTACACAGCTTGAGGTCTCGAGCAACTGAAACCTTAAGTGTGCGTCTTTTGGACTACGGGTTCAGAATGTCAGACTGGTTGCACGGCCTGCACAAGAAGAGACTCGTCAATTTTCACCGCACAGGAAATTTTGATACTTGTGGTCTTGTACATTCAAAACCCAGATTATGTATCGTTGTTGGACAATGCATTCATGATGTCAGACTGGGCGCACAACCACTGCGTATGTACATACCTCTGCAAACGTGTCGGACAAGGAGAGACTTTCTGCGTGAATTTTTGCAGCCCAGGAAATTTTCCAGAAGACAAAGCTATTGAAGTTATAGATTTGGGCTTTGAATGAGAAAGCGCCCCATATATAGTCAAGCGGATCCTGGATAATGCATTCAGAATGACTGGCCGCACAACCACTGCGCCTCACAATGTACCTCTGCAAAGTTCAAACGTGTCGGAAAGGAGAGACTTTCTGCGCGAGTTTTTCCAGCGCAGGAAATTGAGATAAACCTATCGGATATGTACATTTGGGCTTCGAATGAAAGAGCGGCGCATACACTCTCGTCTCCATCGGTGACCAATCCCCTTTGTATAATTCCACCGCTTACTCGTCTAATTTTAACCCAAAGTATGAAGCTATCCATATACTCTCTTGGGACAGCGTTATCCATCTTTTCAGTTACCTCTGTATTGGGAATGGAAATGGCTTTGGAAGAAAGACTGTTAGACGCTTCCACATCTACTGATCCAATACACATGAAGGACCAGACAACTCATCAGTGTGAAGATATGGCAAGGTCTGGTGATTCATTACAAGAAAGGATCTTTCATGGCATCAAAAGTCAGTTTCTTCCAAAGAAGAAAGCACCCCCTACGGTAGGAACAATGGCTGTCCGGCTCTCGAATCCGCTTCTCAACCTTGATCAGACCCAAAGAATGCGAGAATTTGCCCAAAAAGCCACCGCTATGATCTCAGACACCGCCTCTTATTCTGATAAAGTTCTGGCTTGGAAAGGCATCTTTCAAGAAGGTTTGAGTCTCTGGGAAACAAAACAAAAGGATGTAGATGGATGGAGAGTTTTAGGATTCCTTGAAAAATTGTGTAGTTTAGCTCCTGCAAACATGGAAGTTGTACAAGTTTTGATTGGCAAGTTTCCTGATGAACTGAAGCTGAAACTGAAAGCGGTTGAGGGTAAGTCCAAGACTATCAAAACACAGAGTTGTACCAGAATTGTTGATGAATTCCACTCAACTTATTGATCTAGAGTACCCTGTGTACTTTGAAGAAATTCCTTCTGGTTAGTCAATGTTTACATCTTTACCTTTGGATGTAACTGATGAAACTTTGTACCACACAGACCTCACGGAGTGTTGGGCCAGGGCTACATTGATTGGTAGTTATCAGAGACGTATCAAGGCAGAAGCACCTGAAAAACTAGGAACAACAAGGATTGATAAAATCATCAAAGAATACTTGATGGCAGCAAAACTTCCTCAAGTCAAGGAAGATATGGAAAAAATGATGTCTGAAATGCACCTCAACTTGACACAAGTGTCTCCAAAGACTTTGGAAGGGGACTATTCAATAGCAATGGTATCACATCTGTTGAAGCATTCATCTGCTGTTCGAACCAAAATACACATAGAAGATGAGTATTGGAAAGATGTCTTTCGACGCTTTTTTGGGGATAGACCCCAAAGTGAATGTCCATATTTTACTCTTGCCAAAATGAGTTTCCTTGCATGATGATTAATTTCTTTTTCTCATTCTCATTCTCATGGTATTTCTTTAGGGGCTGGGCAAAATTTTGACCAACCGGTTTGCAAAACCCATTCAGTCGTAGTGCAATGATTTAAGAATGCTTTTGCAATGGCTAGAAACCAATATTGAAGCCACCCTTAACCAACCAAAACCTTTATCAATCTTTTTGCTTTGCAAAAATACACACCAGTACAAATCGTTTCTTGAGAACTCCAAAGCTTCACCTGTTCAAAAGGCTCACAGGGCAAAGCAATTTGCGCCGCTGGGCTCGTAGTACAAGCCATGCAAACACCCCTTTTGCACCTTACACATATCCCCTAACCCATCTCTTCTGGCAAAAGCTTGCCTGGGTATTGCCTAAACACTCTTGGCTCTGGGCTCAGATCCGTAACAGATCTGTGAAACCCAGAGTACTTGTCCTCCACCATCTTTGACTCCTTTTGGGAGGCTTCTCAGAGGCGCAAAACCGGTTGGTCAAAATATTGCCCAACCCCTTTTTTCTCTCTCTTTCTACTCTTTCTTTCAGGCAATCACTACTGGGCCAGTTCCCTTATTCTAAGGTTCATGGCCCGGTTGTGGCAGGGGCAGAGGCTGTGGACTGCCTGTTGGAAAAGGTTTTCTACTGAAAACTTCTACTACTGGCTCTTCAGATGCCACTCACTCTGGTAAAAGATTTTATGTTAAAACAAAATTTTTCTTTGTTGTTCCTTATCACATTTTAATTGAGACTTATGGAATAACGTCTCTTTAATATGCAGGACGTGTATTACAACTTGCACATAATACTTGAGGTTTCTCTTTTTCTCTTTCTAACATCATGATGACATAATGTGTTTGAGTGATTCATATAGATAGAACAGTGCTGTTCCCACTTTTGTTGTTCTTTTCTCATTGAACTCATTATTAGTTTTCTCAATCTTTGGTTACTCCAGATTGTGATTTCTTCTCAATCATCTCAGTCTCCTGCGTAGACTGACATTAGATCATCAATCTCATTAGATTAAGAAATCCCTACCTTTCGAGTCATTGGTTATGAGACCAGCGCTCCACTAAAGCACCTATCATTCAAAATTTTTGATCAATTAATCATTGCCCAAAATTTTTCAAATTTTTCAAAATTCATTCAAACATCATGTCCGACAACACCAGTTCTGCTTGAACTCACTTCCCTAAAGTCGCTAAGACTACAGCCCTTTGCATAATTGATGACTTTGAAGAAAAAAAAACCTTGAGTTTTTTTGGAAAGTGACCGAGTTTTGTCAACAAGCTGCTGGGTTTTCCAAAAAGTCGGTGAGTTTTTTTTGGAAACCTGGCCCAGTAATTCTAAAAGAGAAAGAGCTTGCTCAGTTTTTGGAAAACTCGATGAGTTTTTGAAAAACTCAATGAGTTTTTGAAAAAAACTCGCAGGTTTTTTTTGAAAACTCAAGTGTTTTCTCTTTTTCCAAAGTCATCAATTCTGCAAAGGGCTGTAACTATGTCAAGTGGTTGGGTGACTTCATTGCCCACTTAATGACTGTCAATTTGGAGGAGTTCATCAACATCGACTTGCCTCCTGTCAAGCCAGTAAAATTCCTTACCACAGACATGGCTACTCCGATCGCTGTCTTTTCCGCCAAAAGAAAGAAAGCCGCGGGTATCTTGTATGGTTGCATCAACCAAGATAATTGTGTTCACATCACTAATAAGGATGCTGTATCAGACCCCATCAAGATCTGGAAGATTCTCAAAGAACACTTCCAATCCTCATCTGACAAGAATCAGGCTAGAGCTTACAACAAATTCACTGACCTCGTCTTCACGGACCTTGAATCCTACATTACCAACACCCAACACGCTCTGGCTGCAATGTTGGCTGTTGATGGTATCAAACACATCAGTCAGCCTTATCTCGGTGAAACTATTGTGTCTAAAATTCCGTCCTCTATGGACATCACCAATGTCGAAATTGCTGCGCTACGCACAGCAATATGAGGGGTCATGGATAGTGGTGTGATGTACCACTATCCTGAAATTGTGCCACACACCACTGTCAGGACAGACCCACTATGACTTTTATGTAGAGGTGTGGGTCAGTCACTACAGATCACCACAATATTGACTCACTAACACTATCATATCACACACAACAGTCGCTGCAATATTGACTCACTAACACTATGATGGCTCTTGTTTAATATGAACAACAAAATTTATTAAAAGTCATATAGTAAAATAAAGGCAACCATATACAAAGAACTATTAAAATGAGATTATATGAGTATTAAAATAAAAAAAGAGAATCCATGTATTAGGGAAAGTCAAGAAGGTGAAAGAATGAAATAACTGAAAAAAGAGAAACAAAAAAGAGAAGCCATGTATTAGGGAGAATTGAGAAGGTGAAATGAAACTGGTCAGGAAAAGAATCAGGAAACAATTGGAAGAGATGAAATCTTCAACGCTTTTGCATATTATCCACTAAGGCCATAGCCTCTGCAAACTCGCCAGGAACCTTGATGTCTGACTTGAGCCACTCTCGTGTTGAAGAAGCATGCTTGATGGTTCTACTAGACAAGGCTGATCAATTGGAGCCACATACATTGGCTGCTCCTGAGAAGACCCGTTCAACAGAGCAAGTTGTTCCAGGACAACTTAAGAAATCCCAAGCCATGAAAGAAAGGATGGGAAAGGCACCAGTGTGGTCCTAAACATCATATGAGACAGTGAGCATCAGTTTTTGTATTCAAATACATAATATTAAGATTGATAATTACCTTCCACCATGAAAGCAAAGAGCCACCAGTCAGCAGGAATTTTCCTGAAAAATACCCCTCCAGTTCCTTGCTGGTATCATCTTGATCTCCTGTAGAAGTCAAAGCAAAAACATTGTACTCATCATCGGCCACCGTTAGATCTTGCTGATTGGCAGAGGAGTTGACAGGCTTGGAGCAACACGCAAACGCACCGTCGCGGCCCGCAGCACCTGCCTGACTGCGACGACAATGCGATCTACCGCAGTGTCGTCTCGACGCCATCGCAGCGCAGTCGCAGTCACCCAAAAGCTCCCTGAGAAAGCGATGTGCAAAAAAAAATCGCTGCACATCGCAGGCCGTCGCGCTGTAAAAGAAACGCAGCGCGCCGCAGGCCGCTGTGTGCAGCGATGAAATGTCGTGTAAGGCGCAGATTTGTAAAAGAGAAATTATATTTTGAAGAAAAAAATAAAAAGTATAATACGAATTCAATTAAAGAAAGTATAATAAAATATAACTATAGAAAACATGTTCGCTGTGTCGCAGGGTACCCCCTGCGGTGCTTTCACTGCAACAGCGGCCCGGCAAAACCGCAGGCAACCCCGCGCGGCGGCCCGGGTGTACCTCAGGGGCTGTCCGGTTCACTGCGACAGCGGCTCAACCGCAACGCTGTCGCAGCGCAGTCGCAGTCCCCGGCGGGGGGGTTTGCGTGTTGCTTGGAGACTGTATGCTTCTTGGAATACACATCTAGCTGTTGTTCCATGATTTGGTCAACACGATGCACATGTGATGGGTGATGGAGTTCAAAGAATTTCAATTGGAGTAGCAGGTTGAGGACAGTGACAATAACAATTGCTTTGCATTGGAGAGACTCGGTTTCATAAAATCGTAGACGATCAAGCATGACCATATTCATCTTTTTGAGGCTTCTGTAGGGAGTATACAAAGCAATATTTTTGAGTGAAGACCTGACATGATGATAGTCAAGCAAAGTGATTGCTTCTGTAGGGTGATTACCCTCAACTCTTGAGGTAGCAGAAACAAAGATCTACACAACAACGGAATGTACAAGTGAGGCCGGAAAAGATACGACACCAGTTACTCC